CCCATTCCCCCAACTGGAGCTATGAAACTTATTGGATTCAGTCTTGTCTTTTGTCTAGAAAGAATTTTATCTTGTTGACGCATGAGCTGTTTAAAAATTATTCTATTAAATGTTGGTTAATAGTTGTGCAGTTTTTCTTTTCAGAAGAAGAGGCAATTCAAATGTTGCCTTTGTTTTCTGTCACCTTCCAACCCCCCGGCACTTCTAGTCAGATACAGATTCATCAGTGTATGCAACATCCTTTGTAATTTAAAATAAAAAAAAAATGAAAAGGTTTTGAATTGTTTGCCTCATGTTTTCGCCCTTCCCTTCTCTGTTGCTTTTCTGTCGTTTACCAAGGTGGCTAACCATCTCCTCGTCTGCAAAGAAATTGCAAACTAAAGACAGCAGTGAACTGTGGATTGTGCTGCCCCTCTCTTGGTGTAGGGCATAAAGAGCTAACGTTTTGGACACTTCGGGCTTTTTCAGTACTCTAGTGAAAGTTAGTGATTATGGAAAATTATTTGTTGATGAAAACATTTGCATTCTTCATAGTTTGGAACATAGTTTAGTTACATGTATTTTTCGTCTTTGATTCTTCAGGCAAGCAAGGGAAATAAAATGTTTCAAGTCTCTCCTGACTTAAACATTTGTATGTGCTTGTATGTTTAATCAAAGTACGTCTCTGAGATAGGCTGGGTATATACACAGAGCCTTAAGTGAGGGGACCTGAGTGAACACCACCGTGGCACTGTGTTCCTTCAGCCAACAAACATTTGTTTAGCCCATGCTCCGCCAAGACTTGTGCTAGGTACGGACTGTAAAGAGATTAGAGAGACATCCAGGAACTGCTGAGGTTGCTGAGGGGAGGCAGCATGTGAACAGGATCGTGGAACAAGACAAGAGCTGTTACAAATGGAAAGGGTTCTGGGTACGTTATTGCCGAGATACTTGCAAGGATGCGGGTACCACATCCAGTAGGGTATGTTAGGGAAGAATTGACAGGCTTGTGTTCGTGATGTCCCAGGACTCTTGCAAAAAGCTCTTTTTGCTTCATTCAAGGGATATTGGGGCCATCAGAGAGCAAAGTGGACGTGGCCTCTCAGGGACTGGTTCTGCTTCAGGACTTGACCTCCATCCCAGGAGCCTCTGTCATGGTCTTTTAAGGAGTTGGGTGAGCCAAGTCAGTATAGTCCTTAGGAAACCAAACCTTTTGTGGGTAGCACCTAGTTAAATGGGTTGTTCGGTTGTCCCTCCTCACCCAGTGATTTCAGAACCAGGAGAGCTCTTTAGCAAGCAAGAAAGACATAAGTTGGGAAATGCTTTAATATTCCTGCTGAAAGGTTTATAATAGGAAGAGGGTGTTAGAAAGGCTAGGAGCACCTCAGTGACTCTGTTGTTGAGTGCCCAACTTCGGCTCCGGTCATGATCTCATGGGTTGTGAGTTTGAGCCCCGCATCCAGCTCTCTGCTGTCAGCCTGTCAGCACAGAGCCCGCTTTGGATCCTCTGTCTCCCTCTCTCTGCCTTGTCCCCGCTTACGCTCTCCCCAGAATAAATATTAAAAAAAAAAAAAAAAGTCTAGAAGGCTGGGGGTAGCATTCATTAAACCCCTGCTAGGTGCTTTCCTGTCAGGTAACTCTGCTCTCCGTGGCGCAGTGAGGTGGGTGGTTGTGTCCATCTTACAAAGGAGAATAAACTCCGTTGAGGAGACTCACCTCACACCCAGTGTGTGTGATGGCCCCAATTCAAACTCCTGTCTGCTGTCTGCACTGAGAGACGATTCGTACTCCTGAAGGGCCAGGCCAGGTCACAGGCAGTATATAATGGTATCTGTGTAGGAGGGAGATAATAGGCTTAGAATCTGAAACCAGAAAGAACTAAAGCTAAAACCAAGCAGACGTAGTAACCAAAAGTTAGTCTCAGGATGTGTGGGTAGAGGTGATAGAAGCAAAATAGTGTTGGCCAAAGCAGCCTGTGATCGAGAGTGTGGGTCACCACACTACGTCTATCCCTCAAAGATGGCCTCTAGATTAAGGGCTTAGAGTTGGGTCTCTTCGTTAGAAGGGAGCATGTTGGAGGTGGAGAAAAGGGGATCTGTGTTTTCTTCTCTAATTGCTATGTAGAGAATTGCATGGAGACTCTCAGTTGCATAGAGGCCCAAGGTCATGCATCCTAAATAGGGAGCTTCTATTTGAGGATCCAAAACTTTTGAGTGATCTGAAAAATGTCAGTTTCTTTAAAAGATTCTAAACTTAAAACATCACCGGGAATGAACTTAAAATGTACAGGGTCTGGATAAAGAAAACTTTAAAATAATATGAAGGACATAGAAGAAGACATGAACAAATGGAAAGAAAGACCCAAGTTCTTGAACTGGAGCAGCCAACAACATGAAGCTGTCCTCAAAATTAACAAATGTAATGCTATCTCAATAAGACATACCAATGGGGTTTTAAAAAAAAAACACCTAAGTTCATATGGGGAAAAAAATAATAGCTGGAAGATGATGCTAGGGGGAAAAAAAGATTGGGTGTTTAATCCAAACATTAAAACACATAAAACTATAAATAAAACTAAAAATTTTTGGTGCATAAATGAATAGGCCAATAGAACAGAAGGAAAAGTTTAGAAACAGATTCAAACGTAAGAATTTATTATGGTAAATGTGCCATCCAGAACCAGGGAGAAAAAAAGACGGATTCTTCAGAAAATAGCGTTGGAACAACTGGGAAACTCTGGAGAAAGAAAAGTTGGCTTGTATCTCACACCAGATTTCAAACTGTATACATAACAGGAAATGTGGGCAATTCCTTTAAAATCTGTGGGAAGGGGTGGGGAGAATGTTCTAACTTGGATCCCAAGTTCAGGAGTCATAAATGAAGATCGACAAATTCTATGTGAAACAAAAATAAAAAATTGAAATCTTTTTAAAGTTAAAAACATCATAAGCCAAGTCAAAATGCTATAGACTATGAAAAAAACTCATCTCTAAGGGATAATCCTCCTAATATATTAAGAGCTCCTGGAAACTAGTATGAAAAACCAACCACCCAATAGAGAAATGAGTAAAGTAACTACAAATAGCACTCAATCTCATTCATGATAAGAGAAATGCACATTAAAAGATGGCAGTTTCACTTAATCAAACTGGGAAAAATCCTAGTGTTTAACACACCATGTTGGTGAGGCCATGGGAACGCAGGCATTTGTACCACCTTGCTGTGGATAACTGACGTAACCTCTATGAAGAGCAATCTGGTAGTTTGTATCTAAATTTTAAAATGCACATATCCTTTCATCTAGCACTTCCATTTGCCCTGGGCAAATCATCCTGTGCCTGTTTCTTCATGTGTAAAATGCAGACAATTCTACCTCGTAGGGTTGTTGTGAGAATTGTTAGATGAAACACATTAAGAACTTTGTACAAAGTGCCTGGCACATAGGAAGTACTCCAAAAATGTCAGCAATGTAATAGCAGCTAATGCACGTTGAGCTTTTAAACATATGCTGCATTTACTACACGGTGCTTGGTGCTTTTCATGTATTACCTCATTTAATGCTCCAGCCATCCCTGTGATTATCACCAGTTAGCCTCAAGTTTCTGAGGCACAGAGATGTGAAGCGGGTTGTCCAGCAGGATTCAAGCAGGGTTGACTCCCAAGCTTCCCTTAAGGGAGGGTGCGTGGAGCACTGGAGTAACACAGATGGGCAAGCCATGTGTTGAGTTTTGAGGGAAGATGTGGCTCTCAGTTAAGGCTCTGCCACTCTCGACTTGGGTAGTCTTGGGGCAGGATGTTCAGTTTTGTTTCACTTTTGACCTACTCTTAGTCCATCTGCCAATCTGTAAAACTGGGGTATAACTATTTCAAGTGTGGTTGAGAGGATTAAACTAGGCATTCAGGTCTTCCTAATTCATGCTTGCTGATGTGAACCAAAGTACGCAGGGTGGGAGCAAAAGGGGAAACGCATTCTGAGAAGAGGGAACAGCACATTCCAAAGCTACAGATCTAAAAAGAGCCTGAGGAATCCAGGAGTGGGATGAGATGCGGTGGCTGATGGCCTTGAAGATCAGCTAAGAAACTTGGACAATTTGATAATAAAAATAAAACGAAGAGCCACCATTTTCTGAGAGTCTGCTCTTAATTATTTCCATCAAAACTACTCCAGCGAGGTAGATTTAATAAATCCAACTGTACACAAAGGGGAACTGCCAGGAGCCACAGAAGAGGTGTAAGCTGGGAGGTGGCTTGATCCGTTGTGATTTTAGAACCCTTGGACCAACAGGAGGTGCTCTAAGAGAACTGCCTTGAATCCCATACATTAAAAGTATTAATAACATTTATCATTTTTGCATTTATTCCACAATTTATATTCACCGTAGAACATATGAAAAATACAAGAAAGTTTAAAGAAACATAAAAAATTGTTAATTCCACCCTCTAGAGAATCCCAAGTGATACTTTCCTTCCAGTCTTCTCCCCCCGCCCCCACCTTAATCCAAAAAATATGTAGTGATTAGAATGGCTCTTAGATAGAAGATGTGGAGAGGTCAGTGTTAAAACGCCCTTGAGGGGCGCCTGGGTGGCGCAGTCGGTTAAGCGTCCGACTTCAGCCAGGTCATGATCTCGCGGTCCGTGAGTTCGAGCCCCGCGTCGGGCTCTGGGCTGATGGCTCGGAGCCTGGAGCCTGTTTCCGATTCTGTGTCTCCCTCTCTCTCTGCCCCTCGCCCGTTCATGCTCTGTCTCTCTCTGTCCCAAAAATAAATAAACGTTGAAAAAAAAAAAATTTTAAAACGCCCTTGATACTCCTTCTCTTCTTCCTTTTCTTAGGACCACACCAAGGGGAGAGCCGACTCCCTCCGCGTTTTCAGGGATACTCCCCAGGACTCATCGCCGCCACGCTCGCTCGCCTCAAGCCGGTCTCTAGGGGGCGCTGCTGCAAGACCTGGAGCGGAAGGAAGGCGATGCTGAAACGCGGTTAAATTTGGGCACCGCCGCCGCCCGTAGTCGGCGTCCTCAACATGGCGGCTCCCCAGGATGTCCACGTCCGTATCTGTAACCAAGAGATTGTCAAATTTGACCTGGAGGTGAAGGCGCTTATCCAGGTACTAATTCCCGGGACCCGTGTCGGGCCCCAGCAGCCCTAAACCCAGGCTCCTCTGGCCTCCTGTAAGCTCGGCGGTCTCACTCCCAAGCTTTCCCCGCTTGGTCAAGTCTCCGAGGTCGTTGGCCCCGTCCCAGGGCCGGCTGCTCCCTCCCTCCCCCTTTGGTCCATCTCCTCGACCATTGGCCTTGATCCTCTATCCAGTTGCGGTTGCCTTGCCCTCTTCTGGACACTCTCATGCTCCCCCATCCTGACCAAGCTTACCCTTTGTGACCCCCACTGGTCCCTCCCACTCACACTTCTCGACCCGGACCGCCACACAACATACCTGTCACCTTGGGTGGCCCCGCCTTCTGACACCGCCCTCCCCACAAGTTGGTGGCGTCCTGAGAGCCATTGGCCCCGCCCACTCCTGACCTGCTCCTCTGGGTCTGGTGCCCGGTGACACCAAAGGCCGCCTGACACGGGAGGCACCAGGTGAAATGAACGTAACCTCGGCTGTAGTTGTGACTCTGTAAATGAGGAAATCAGGTAAAATGCCAAGGCCTGGGGCAAAACTGCGACCCGGACGAGGAAAGTCCGCCTAGAGAAGGGGCTTAGGGAGTCTCTACAACTTTCTTTAACTGATGGGGTAATTGAGGTGTTTTGCCTTAAGCTATTTAAGGTAGAAGGCAGCAAAGCGATGAACCAATTGGCACAAGCAAGAGTTAGGAATGTAGAAATGATCCCTTGAACTTATCAAAAAGAAACCAAGAGTTTTAAACCTTGGTTTCAGGCAAGTCATTTCCATTTCCAACAGATGCTATTAAACATTAGATGTAGGGGCGCCTGGGTGGCTCAGTCGGTTAAGCGGCCGACTTCAGCTCAGGTCATGATCTCGCGATCAGTGAGTTCGAGCCCCGCGTCAGGCTCTGTGCTGACAGCTCAGAGCCTGGAGCCTGTTTCAGATTCTGTGTCTCCCTCTCTCTGACCCTCCCCCGTTCATGCTCTGTCTCTCTCTGTTTCAAAAATTAATAAACGTTAAAAAAATTTTTTAATAAACATTAGATGTAGACTCAGAGTTTGCAAGTAACTGTGGCAAAAACTGAAGGAAAGTCGGATTCCCCATGGAAACCCGATGCAGGATAAACCAAATTAGTGCTTTATCATGGTGCAAGAAGTGGGGTTTAATAAGTCAGAGAACAAGTGAGGAAACTTGATGCAAACATTTAAACTTCTTCAACTTCACTTCTTCTCCATACACACTGCAGTACTTCTGGGCTGACTCTGGAAAAATAAGCTTAGGATTCATACAAATAAAACATTTTCACATAATCTAATTTGGGTAAGCCCCTTTTGTACTGTGTTTGGGTTCTCATGATTGCAAACGAGAAAGATTGATTATACGTAAGTGTACTGCACTCTTACTGTGTGCCAGCTCCCCTGCAAAGTGCTTTACATACATATAAGGTTTATGTGGTAGGTAATGTGGTGAGGAAACTGAGGCACAGAGAACTCCATGACTTTTTGTTACACAGCTAAGAAATTGCTACAGCATCTGCATACTCTGGCTCCAGAACCTGCTCTAAAACCTGACCCCAGGGCTTTTGGATGCCCAGAAACCAATTCTAGATCTCCCCTCGAACATGTCTGTAGAAACCAATTCTAGATCTCCCCTTGAACATGTCTGTAAACACCGTGATTTATATATAATAGATGGTTTGTAAAATCAGGGTGAAGTTAATCTTGTCCTATGATGCCAGGAGTTGATCCTGATTTTCAAGTTGGAAAGTTCTAAAGTTATAGTGTCACTTTTGGATGTCCGTTCTTGTTGGACATACAAGCTGCTTTAAGCCTTTTATACTGATCCTGTGGTGTTTTGTTGAAATCAGGAACTAATAAGTCAGGACAGCTGTGTTTCTTTTCATACTTTTGTATTACCTGCTCAGAATTACAGAAATAGGAGAGAAATGTAAATGATAATGTTTTTGCTTGTGTTGCTGAGGTAAACAGCAAAGATCAGGATGAATTAACAGGCAGTAGGCCAGCCTTAGTTGTGATCTGAGCCAGTCTTCTCACTGTACAGATGGTATCATTTCACTTCATTGCCTTGAGAAAGTCCCTCTCACCTTTTCAATGTCTCCTAGGATATTCGGGATTGTTCAGGACCATTAAGTGCACTTACTGAACTGAATACTAAAGTGAAAGAGAAGTTTCAGCAACTGCGGCACAGAATACAGGTGAGTAGCTGCAGAAGTAAGATGTGGAGAATGCGTCACAATGAGGGGGCTCCATCCGGGAGCCGCCTGAGCGCTGTCCGGTTTCTTCAGTAGACATTTAGACAGTGAGGGTAACTGTACTAACTTACTCTCAAGGTAAAAGTGAAGAACTTTTGAATGTGTTGCTACTGTCTCTTGAGGTGTTTTTTTGTTTGTTTGTTTGTTTCCTGCTGCTCTTTGCCCAGCCTCTTCCTCCCTGTTTCTGAGGTCTCCAATCACATCATATGCACATATAACACTCCTGAATCCCACTATGGCATATGTGCAATCTCAAAACCAGTGGAGCGAGAAGTACCTGTTTGCATAGCCTGCTTGTGCTGCTGTGCCCTAGAGAGAATAAGATGAGTACATGGGCCTGCCCGTCGCTGGGTGGGTCCTGGGGCCCTTGGTCTCACTCTGTGGTACTGGAGTTTACAGATCTGTGCTTTTCCTGTGACCTGGCCCCACAGGCCAGCCAACAACTCCTGTTGCTTAACAGAGGATAGTCTGTTTCAAAGCTGGTAGCAAAAGTGGCCATTTGGACCTGAGAAATAGTATGTCTGGGCCCTGTGTATTGCTTTCCTAAGGGATTTTCAAGGGCAGTTTTGAAAATAAGTACTTTCTGCCGTAAGAGTTCACTTTAGAATTTTAGCAAGGTCACTGAACCTCGCTGATCTTTTTTTGCCTCCGTCTGTAGCACTGATTTATAATTGAATTTTTATTTTTGAAAGGCTGTTCCTTTCTCATGTATGTGTATACATTCTATGTATGTATGCCCATGGGTGAATATGGACACTCAGTGGAAAGTCCCATGTATGAGTGTTATTATTCTCTGTTCCTCTCCTCCACACAGGTAACCACATTTGTTACTTAGGTATCTTTTCATGGTGTATCTACTCAAATACTAAAAAAAGCCAAATATATTTTCTTATTTCCAGTTTCTCATATAAAAGGTAGCATACTAAAACACCACTTTTTAAAACTTAACAGTATCTTTTGGAAATCTTTCCATATCAGTATTAGAGTGCTCCCTCGTTCTTTTTTTATAGTCCTAGTTTTCTAGCCAGTTCTGTATCAAAGGGCATTTTATTTGGACTACTTCTCTGCTTTTTGGTTTTTCGTTTATTTTGCTTTTTAAAGCTAATGCATTCCCTGAAAGACCTTTCTTCGACTCTCATGATTTCAACTCTGCAGCCACACCCACCACCTTAAGTATTTTCATGTTCTTTCTGTTTGCTCAGTGTTTATTTCCTTCACTAATTGAAATTACTTCACTGATACATTTACATATTTATTATGTCCCTCTCTCCCATAATCACCTCCTCGAGCACCAGAATATCCTGGCACCTAGTAAAGACTTAATAAGCACATGGTCAGTGAATGAATAACCCCATCCCAGTTTTATCTGCATTTCCTGAACCTTTATACCAGGAAATATATACAAGATTTCTATTTGATGTTTTTAGCTCTTTATGAATGACTACTTTGTGTATTTGCAACAAGATTGTGTAGTACTGGGGAACTGGCCTCATATCCTCAACATATGCTTCAGCTGGGCATCGACTGACTATGTGTAAATACCTGTGTGAATGTCTTTGTGTATGTGGTTCTCAGACTGGAATTTGAGAACTATTTTACCCCTTTCTTTTCTTCCACAACTATTTGGTTCTCTATGACAGAACTCCCTTTTATGAGGAAACTATACATTTCTTCCTTCTTTCCTTCCTCCCTCCCTTCTTCCCATGCATCCATTCTTCCATTCAGTGATTTGGTGCCTAATAATGTGCCAGGCACAAGGAATATATATAATGAACACTAGATAAAATCCTGCCTTCCTGGAGTTCACATTCTGGTAGGGAATCTAGATTTTTTTTTAATGTTTATTTATTTAAAAAAAATAATGTTTATTTTTGAGAAAGGGAGACAGAGTGTGAGCAGGGGAGAGGCAGAGAGAGAGAGAGACAGAATCAGAAGCAGGCTCCACGCTCTGAGTTGTCAGCACAGAGCCCGACATGGGGCTTGAACTCATGAACTGTGAGATCATGACCTGAGGTGAAGTTGGACACTTAACCAACTGAGCCACCCAGGTGCCTGGGAATCTAGATTTTAAGTAAATAATTAAGCGAGTAATTTACTGACTACATTTGCAAAACTTGCATTCCTTTATGTTCTTTTTTTTCTCTGACTCAGCCATATCTGGGACCATTAATTGGAAGTTATCTCTGAGCTAGTGAAATGGTGGATACAGATGTGTGTTCCTGACCAGCTTGTGCAAATTAACACATAAATGAGTATATAAATAAATAAATGCGTATATAAATGCACTAATATGTTGATGTTTTTAGCATCAGGAGCTTGATTGGAACTGGAACTTGTTTTAATCTGTAAACAAAGAACATGGCTTGATTCTTGAGGTGTAATGACATCTTTCATTAGCGTCTGTCTGCTACTTCCATCATGTGAAGTTCTTGGGGGGTCTCAGACTGCCAGTTGTTGTGTCCACTGCCCCTCACTGAGGTGGACCGTTTGTCTCCTGGCGTTTGGTGATTCTGGGTTGTGAGCAGTCCTCTTCAGCCGACCTTATCTGTGGGACTTTTGTTCAACCTGGACTGAAGGCAGCAGGTCTTTTCAGAGGTTTTTGGATTTGCTTTTGCTATGTCTCCTGGGGTCGTAAGTCTGGAAGCACTTTGTATGTTCATTTCTCCTCGTGAAGATTCCCAAACCATTCAGAGAGGAGGAATTGTTACTCCAGATCAGCTTGAGGGTGGCTCCATGCTTTTAAAGTCTCAGGAGATATTTTGTATCCTAGCCAGAGCCCAGGGCAGAAAAAGGGACAAGCTTCCATGCTGTCTCTCGTGCTGGTTGACAGACGTTTTCCTAGTTCACCTTTTCACTGGAGGGATATCCCTTTGTAGGTCCTGGATTTGTGGCTCCCTGCCTCAGATAGCTCAACACTTTGTTTGGCTGTCCATATATAGGCTTTAAAATCTTCAAACTGTTTGCTACCAGTATATTATGAAATAGGTACAGAGATGGAGAATGAACATTTAGACACATATAGCAGTTTGATGTTTGCATGTATCTCAAAGTGGGACCAAGGGGCTCCTATTTAGTAATTTTTCCCCCCCGCTTTTGATTCCAGTCATGGCCCGGACTACAGGAGTAAATGTCCTATCCCAGGGCAGTTGTGCCTCACTCACAGTCTGACATCTCTGGCTCTTAGTTTCCCTCTCACCTTGGGGCCCTGGGGATTGTCCTTAACTTTCTTGCAAACTCAGCTCTATATTTAGAAGGATGTTTGTTATATGTCACCTGGCATTCCTGAGTGTTCTCTTTTAGGAGCGTTTTTAAGTGCTATCATATAACCTCCCTAGAAAGAGAAGTGCTCTTTGGTTTTTATATTGGCTTTTAAAATCATTTTAACATAGAGCTGTTTTCCCCAAAGGAGCTTGAGCAGTCAGCTAAAGAGCAAGACAAAGAGTCAGAGAAGCAGGTTCTGCTCCAGGAAGTGGAGAATCACAAGAAGCAGATGCTCAGGTAGGTGGGGCCTGTGCTGGGTCACTTGCTCTGTGGGAGGCTTGTACAGAGCTTTGCCTAATAAACCTGGCTTCATGATTTAAATGTGTCATTTATACACAGACTGTCCTCTCTAGATGAGTAATTCTCAAAGCAGGGGCAGGTAGGGGCTATCGGTAGGTCGAATTGTGTATAGTTACAAAAGCGCATTTAACCATATGCTATATTTTATATTTTTAACACAAACCCAAAAAATGGTTGCTCATGTAATACAAGGTCCTTTTTCTTTAAGGATAATTGATACCAGAAAAAGCCCGCTGAAAATGAACCTACTTAAGATGAAACAAAATTTAGAAAGTTTTAAATGGGACCTTATCTTAAAAAATGAAACCAAAAAGATGTAGCTAAGGTGATGTTATGTTAAATAACTTGGAGATGATCGTTATAACTCATGTGCTAACCTTTAATTATATTACTGAGGTATGTGCTCTTTCTTGGTATTGAGTTGGGGGACTGTCCAACAAAATTGTCTGATGGCATGAAACCGTACCTGTCCCTTCACATTTGATCTTGATACCATATCATACAGAGGATTATTGTTGCAAAAATATCGGAGGGCTCCATCATCTGTCCCAGTCCTCTGGTAGCCAGGTCATTCTCTTGAAGCCCCTGCTGGTCATCGCCCTCCTAGGTGTTCTCTTCCTCCCTGTTAATTGCTCTAACTCTGCCAGATCTGTATTTGTCTGTGGTTTTGCTTCTGATTTGGGTGATGATCCAGCATTATCCTTGCTGAGAGCAGCTATGTTTATAATACCCAGCAATCAGGAGAAGACTGTCTGACAAAGATGTGGGCGTGGTAGAGACTAGTGTAAGCAGGGAGGGATGTGTGCGTGGTGACCAGTGTTTAAGTGCTTGGCTCAGTAGTATCACTGTGTCATGATGGCATTTGCTTCCCTTGGCCACCAAGGATGCCCAGGTTGTAAACACTGAGTAAAGAGGACCCTTGTATAAAGTATAGTAAATTACACGAGGTGAAACAGGCTCAGCACGGGTCTGAGAATGGCCATCCATGATGTGGAGTTACAGGTAGGGAGAGCAAGCAGTAAATGAATACTTTGGCAAGCCGTGTTGAGACAGCAGTTGTGCTTGCCCGCGTTATTGTGCTTATCACACCGGCCAACAAATCCTTTGTTTGCTTGTCTTTCTCCCCAAGAAATGTGAGCCGCTTGAGGGCGGCCACTATGGCTCACTCATCTCTGTGTCACAGGGTCGGGCAGAGCTCCCTTGCCCACAGTTTGAAAATGTAATTGATTCTTTTTAAATATCAGGTGTGAAATGGCATAGCAGGTGCTGTTCAGGTGACAGAGAACTTGTTTTAATGTTTTAAGCACAGAGGTGCTATTAGCAAAACACCCTCTCAGTTCATGTGCCCCGTGCTTGACTTTGTAAATATCTCAGGGGTTAACAAAACTGACGTGATCCAGCTGCCTAAGAGTTCCAGTGCTTGAGTTTGATTCTCTGAGGGGCCCAATTAACATTTTTATAGTCCATCAACAAAGGTTACACTGCTAACCCCAGGGAGCTGTTCACCAAATTTGAGTTGTCTCTCACAAGGGGGATCAGGTAAAGAATGTAAATAAATCGTGTCAAACTGGGCTCTGCTAATACATTGTGTTTGTATTGTTCATTATCGGTCTGGGTGTGTAAAAGACAGCACATCTTAAAGAAATATCGAGCAAACCCTAAGTGCTGAATCACTATATTGTTCACCTGAAACTAATATTACACTGTATGTTAACTGGAATTTAAACAAAGCTTGGAAAAGAAATAATGGGGAAAACGGTCTTTCTATGATTTTTCTACTTTTTATAACACATATTAATTGGCTAATGGGCCAGAAACTGTTGTTCTAATTACTGGTGATCCAAAGATGAGTGAGACATGGTTCTCAAGGAATGGAACTAACCAGTACACAAGACAGAGCCTTGAAGTGTTATAGATGTGACTTGACAGAACAGGGCCTTGTATGTCCAAGGTGGATTTGAACTCTGAAACCATTGCTGGCTGTAAACACAGAAGTGCCATGGCCAAACTGCTCCCTCTGGCTGCCCTGGAAGGAAAGGGACAGCTATGGGCAGTAGAGCAGTAGGGGAACATCTTGCAGGCAGCCTCCAGTGTCCAAACCAGAGGTGTTGGAGCCTTAGCTGGGGCAGCTGCTGGGGCAGCCAAGAGGGAGAAATGTCGGGAGGTGGAGATGGGCTCTGTGGGCCAGGCCTTCCCCGTCACTCACTTGCGGTGACTTGATCTGACTGACAGAAACTCATGCGAGACCCTTCTGATTCCAGCAATCAGACCTCATGGAGGAAGGCTAATCTCACTTGCAAAATTGCTATCGACAATCTAGAGAAAGCAGAACTTCTCCAGGGAGGAGACCTCTTAAGGCAAAGGTATCTTTCTTTTTGTCTTTCTGGGCCCTGATAATGGAATTGACCAGGTGCAAAACCCACTGTAGGCAGCCCCTTCTTGTTTTCAATGTAAAACTGGTACTTAATTTTATTATATAAGTAGTATTTTTTAAAGTATGAAAGAAATATATGCTTACTTGTAATAAACTGATAAAGAAAAATATTAATTATAAAATGAGAATAAGCTGTAATCGTGTTACAAATGTTGTGATGTATTCTCTCCTCCCATTATTTTTTTTTACAAAGTCAAAAATCGTACTATATATAAAATTTAGTATCTTGCTCTTCTTCACATTGTATAACACAAAGACTTGCTTGTTGTTTTAGAAAACTCTTTAAACGAAGTTTTAAGAGTCCGTAGTATTCTCTTGTATTAACTAATCCCCTGTTCACATGTGTTTACATTTCTAGTTTGTCAGTATTATAAATAATACACAAGGGCACATCTTAGGACATAAGGCTTTGTCCACATTTTGGATATTTCCTTTGGAGAGATTCCCAGGGATGAGATTATTGGGCAAAAGGCACGAACATTTCTAAGGGTCCTGGTACCTGTTGCCGAATTGCTCTCACAGAAGGGTAGCAGTCTTCAGCACATCCTTGGTGGCATTGACTGCGATTATTGATATTTAAGTATATATGGTATCTTGATAAATAAAAAAATGGGATCTCATTTGAAAATGGGGTTTTCTCGCAGTCAGGCTTTTGTTGACATTCCTCCTCCCACTCTGGATTTTTAGGAAAACCACCAAAGAGAGCCTGGCCCAGACGTCCAGTTCCATTACGGAGAGCCTCATGGGGATCAGCAGGATGATGTCCCAGCAGGTTCAGCAGAGCGAGGAAGCCATGCAGACGCTAGGTAAAGCCAGACCTGGAGTTAGAAGCTTCTCCCAGAGACACCAGCTCCAGAGCCTTTGCCTTGGCACCTGCCACCAGGCTCTTCCACCTCTGCCCCCCACCCTAGTCCCGAAGCTTGCTGACATGGGTGGCTTCTCACTTCTTCGACAGCGTGGTCTTGCCCAGAGTGGGATGTGTTGCTCTTACTTCTCTTTTTGGTTTTCATGGTTGTACTAGAAGATCTGCACACCACTGATAAAATGTTTCCCCAGCAGAAGCACTTCCAGGGTCTCATGTGAAAGGCAGAGATCTCCAGGCCTTCTTCTGGAGAGAGTGGGTCCCAGCAGGGCCGGGGTAGGGGCCTGGGAGTCTGTATTTTTTTATCTGGCATTCTGTGGACCCATGTGGCCAGGCAGGCTTGGGAATCACTGCCTAGGGAGATGTTTAGTGTATCGGCTGCCGACGAGGCTGCTAGGTCCTCGGCTTACAATTATACCCCCCAGTGTTATTTTCACTGTGAACTGCTTTTAAAAGATACAGTCAAAGGCCATAGAAGAAGCTGCTGGAGCATCTGGTTCTCTCCCAGCAGCTTTCCCATAGTGCCTCTCTTGTAATGCAGAAGAGAATTGGCCCTCTTCAGGGTCTTGCATATAGGAAAACAGAAGAGGAGAGTTTACACTTTGAAACACTTTTAGCAGATTTCACAAAGAGACAGTAGAGAGCATGATGCAGAGGTCCAACGGACCCGTTCCCCCAGCTTCAGCAGCTGTCTGCTCATGGCCAGTCTTGTTTCGGCTCCACCCTTCCGTGCCCTCATCTGGATTATTTTGAAGCAAATCACAGACATCATCTATAAATATCTCAGTGTGTCTCTCTGAAAGATAAGAGGCTCGTGAAACAAAAAACAAACAAAACCAGAGCACGATACCATTATCACCCCTAAACAGTATCTGTCATTTGGAGCCACTTTTTTTTTCAGTGCACTCTTCAAACAGGCAGAAAAGCACAAGGAAAGCAAGCAGCTTGTCCCCAAGGTCAGTCCCTCTGTTTGAAACGTATCTGGGCATTTAGGCTCAGAACCAGCCGGTCACCTCCTCTACATGTGTGCTGGGGGTGGGGCTCAAGCCTTGGTAGAGGCCTTGGAGAACATGCCAAAGGGGGGGCCGCCTGGCCTTGTTAGTTGAGGGCTTTTCTGCTTTGATGCAGGTGACGGACTGCACATGCACATACCGGAAACAGATAATGTAGTTAAATGGTGAGAAGGGTACAGAGATGCCGATGGCCTCTGGGGTTTTCAGGGCTGTTCTTGGGGCCCATTCTTTCCTACCAGGAGAGAAGCTGTTGAAGAAAAAAGAATCCAATACTTTTAATTTTTTTTTTTAATGTATTTATTTTTGAGAGAGAAAGTGCGTGCTCGAGAGCGAGTTGGGGAGGGGCAGAGAGAGAGGGAGACACAGAATCTGAGGCAGGCTCTGGGCTCTGAGCTGTCAGCACAGAGCCCAGTGTGGGACATGAACTCACGGACTACAAGATCATTACTTGAACCGAAGTCAGATGCTTAACCGACTGAGCCACCCAGATGCCCCAAAAGAATGCAATTGTTAATCCTTTCCTTGTAGCTCAGAAAGTCAGCTTGATTTAAAAGCCTGTTAGGACTACAGTTATGTTTTGTTTTGTTTTTTGTTTTGTTTTGTTTTGTTTAAAGCATATTAGGGATATAATGGAATTTGCTGAAATTGAGTGGGGTAGTAGTGTGGGAACAAGAGTGCCAGGGAGTTAGCAGTTTAGGGTATGGATGATGGGCACAGGGCATTTCGTGATACTATTCTGTCTACTTTGGCAATGCTTTAAAATCCTCTATGATTTTTAAAAAGAAAGGCCTACTAGCTTTTTTTCTGAACAAGCTCTTACTTAGGTTTTTGGAATGGCAGCAGGCATAGAGAAAGAGGACCAAGAGGGATTTTTGATATCTGAGTGTTTATTTTCACCCCTCATTTGCCTGTATATAAATGCTTCTCTGTTTCCTCTGGTAATTTCTTTTACTTACTTATTAGCTTTTAATTTTGTGAGAAGGTAACATATATTACATGATTAAGGAGGAACCTCTAGGCCAGCACTGTCCAACAGAAACACAATGTGAGCCACATATGTAACTTTAAATTTTCCAGTAGGCACATTAAAAAGGTAAAAAGAAACCTTTGAATGTATTTAACCCATTACATATAAAATATTACCATTTCAGTCTGCAATTAATATGAAAAATTATTGATACTTTACCTTCTTTTTTTTTTTTTTTTTTTCATGCTAAGTCTTTGAAATCGTGTGTGTTTGACACGTAGGGACGTCTCAATTTGGTTTAGCCACATTTCACATGCTCATGTGCTGCAAATGTCCAGGGGCTGCCGTGTTGGGCTGCCTCGTAGACACCAGGTCTGCCCCCAAGGGCAACCACTGTTACCACTTTCTTTTACATCCTCCTGAGGTCTTCCAAGCATGTCTAGCACAAGCAGATTAAATACTGTTTATACTCCTCTCTCTTCCATAAGTGGAAATTTTCACATACGCTCTTTCACACCTCACTTTAACAGCATATTTTATTCTGTGGATGTTTTGATGATGCCTTGCTAGGCTTTGTGGGAGAATCTTGCCACGTATACTCAAGTGTCAGGCCCAGATACCCATACTCAGAAGTAAATTTGACTCTTGGATACAATGAGCCTTCAGGGACATGTACCTCCCCTTAGATTTCATACAGTGGCCAGAGCACAGGTGCGTCATCTTTAAAGCTACAGCAGTGTCTCAGGACTGAAGGACTGGTATGTGTGTGTGAGGGCTTGTGGCAAGGCCCAGCCCAACTTCTTGTGATCCCACAAAGAGCAGATCTGACTGTCAGGGGTGCGGGCGGGGTGCACCTTGGACAGTCTTGGTGACTCCCAGCTTCTGCCCCCGTACCGTACATTGCCTGGCCACAGTCACCCAAGTTCGTTTTGGGACTGGTGGTTCTCAACACCTCCCTGCTTCAGAAAACTGAAGTTGGTGGTCAGGAAGGGAACTCGCTTCTGCTTTTTTCCCTGGTGATGTTCATGTTGGAGAACACCTAGTTATGGCCCCGTGACATTGTATATAAAGCCACATCGCTCTAAGCTGGATGAGACCTAGAGAAGTGCTTTCCTTGTAGTATCCTTATTCTTTGCTCCTCTGGATTGTCTCTGCTCACATCTTTGCTTCTGGCTCAAGGGAACTTGCTATAGAGTGCAGTGTTATTTAGTGGTAACCCAGCCAGCAGAGCAAAGTCTTTGGTTTTGGTGCTCTACAGTCTCTGAGTCAGGATTCCTCCCTCTTTTGTTTCAGCCAATTCTTCCCGGACTATCCTGGATGCAAATGAAGAGTTTAAGTCCATGTCAGGGACCATCCAGTTGGGACGGAAGCTTATCACAAAATATAATCGCCGAGAGCTGACGGACAAACTTCTCATTTTCCTTGCCCTGGCCCTTTTCCTCGCTACGGTCCTCTATATTATAAAAAAGCGGCTCTTTCCATTTTTGTAAGATAGGGAATTACCAGCTTTTGCCCTTTAAAGTCCGGTGTCAAGATCTGGCCATGCTACCAAGCTCTGGTAAACCAGTCCATGCCTCCACGGTCTGCTCCAGTTGTTCTACGGGTTGGATGGAGGCACAGAGTTCCCCAGGTTCCTGCAGGTGGCTGGCTTGCAAAGGGCGAGCAGAGCAAGGTGTCATTGAGACACCTACAGGAACACAGGGACTCCACGAGCCATCGCAACAGTGCTTATGGCTGTCACATGGGGCATTCAGAGGCCAGCCTTCAGGCTTTGATCCTCCTTTCTCTCCTTCTCCTGCTGTGGCCTTAGTGCCAGATCTGGTAGAAGGAAGAGAAAAGTGGGGGGGAAGGAGGATAAGGAAAACTCACGTCCATTTCTTGAATAAACTTGACTATATTTAATAGAATGAAATGCATTTGGATTATAAGGTATCCTTCTGGGAATTTGTGTCCTGCTTTTGGTGTCCAGATTTCTAGGACATGATCTTAGATCATTTATTTGTTCTCCCAACAAAGGATTATTAGGCAGCAGTCATATGCAATGTATTACAGACCCTGCCGACTGTTACAAATAGATTGGTAAAGCAGCTGTGGTTCCTCCCTCAGGGAGCAAGGAGAACAAGATCTCATAGGCTCCAAAAAAGTAAGTTACGAAAAGCCCCCACCGGAGGTGGCTGACCCATCTGAAAAGGCTGAGGCAAACAGCCTTTTCTTTCTGTGTACAGTGGTGGGCCTGGCCTCTCGGTGTGCAGCATCTTGGGGGCTGGCGCATGTCTTTCTCTTTGAGGTGCAGAGCTAAATATAACGATGAGAGGGAGGCTAGTGATAAGCGGAGTCCTGTCTGGGCCTGAGTTCTGTCGAGGCCTGGGGGATCCTAGGGCTCAGGCTGGGAGATGTTCGTGTCCTTGTGCTATAGGCCTGGCTGGCCTCACACATGAAATCCCAGCCTCCCCACTATTTATAGCCCCAGAGGCCCTGGGATGTGTAACATGGAGGCAGAGGGGAAAGTGAAAAGAACATGGACTTTGAGCCTTGGTTTTGAGTCTTGGCTGTTTAACTAAAGGACCATGTGACTATGGGCAAGATATCTTATGTCACTAAGCCTCAGTTTCCCCACCTGTAACATGGGGGTGATAGTCCACATAGACATTTGTTTAGTCAACATGAGACTCCAACAAGAACGTGAAGTAACAAGTGCAGCCTCTGTCTGACTGAGCAGTGGGCTTCCCAAGTGGGGCCACCTCCAGGGCTCTGGACCCTGAGGTTTCCTGCAGCAAACAGGGGCTTCGGTGAAAGCTGGCCTGGGCATCACAAGTTCTGTTTAGATCTGTTTGAGCAGAGGATGTCAACAGTTAAGGCTTTGGCTTCAGTTATGAACTGCCAGATCTTCATGGGACCAAGTACTTAAGAGATTGGCTGCACACCTCAGACTGACTAGTTTAATGAGTAGGTTCTAAGTTAAAGTGTGTGTGTGTGTGTACACACTTCTATATATACATATATCATACTTAAACGATTTCTGGCCTCAGAAGACACTCACTGCAAATTGTGCATGCATGTGTCTTATTTATAGTCAAATTAAAGCTGAGAATAAAGCACAGATGGGAAATTCCCACTCAGATTCCAGCTGTAAGTGCAGCAGATGGATGTTATCAATTTAGGATTTTCTTGTCTTAACATTTTTCTTTACCACTTCCCACTAATTGTCAACATCCTCCTTCCAATATGGGAATGTGTGGGCGCTGTACTCCTTAAAAAATCTCCCTTTGACTTTATTCTTCTGTAACTTGCTAGGTTGAATTTGAAATGTCATCAATAGCATTGTATCTTGGAACCCCATTCAGCCACCGGGATTCAAAGTCATCCCCTAGCCGGCTGGCTGGACAGAGAGCAACCATCTCCATGTTCAACCGTGAGGGGGCAGTGTTCACATTTGCTCTGTGGTCTTGCTGTGTGTACGGCTTCATCAGTCCATACGGAATGCTCTTGCGGATTTTTTTTTCCCACGTACCAGACTTTAAAAACAAACAAACATACAAATGTACAAAGTTTATAGTTTTTAGAAGATGTTTCATAGATGATTTTCATTTTCACTGTGAAAAGTAAGGTCAGCTTGTGTTCTACAGTTTGGTTAGGTGACAGTCAAAGAATTAAAAGTATAGAGCAGCTGTCAAGAGGTCGTTCATTCCAAGTATTTACTGAGCACGTACTTTGTACCAGGCACTGTGCTAGGTATAGGCAGTGAATAAAACAAAGATTCCCTGTTGTTGTGGAACTTACAATATGTGAGAGAGGGCAGGCAGATGATAAACAAATAAGCCATTCATTCTGTTAGACAATAAGTGGTCTAGGAAAGAGGGAAGCCCGCTAATGGAGACAGGAATGTAGGTGTGGGGATAGGTTTAGTATCAAGTAGGGTGGTCAGAGCTGGCCTCACTGAGGAGGTGAGGTCTGAGCAAAGGCTTGTTGGGGAGGGAGACCCCTTAGCCATGCAGACTGCTGGGGGAGATGAGCTCCGGCACAGGGACCAGATGGGGCTGGAGCAAAGGCCTATGGTGGGAACACCTGCGATACTGTGATTGATAGTGTGTGTGTGTGTGTGTGTGTGTGTGTGTGTATACACACACACACATATATATATTTGGTGTCCCCAGTCAGGGGCACAGAGCTCCTAAAACCCTTGGACTTTCCTGCAGTGAGAGCCATAAAGGTTTCTTTTGTTATGTGTATGAGGCGACTTTTGGAAAGCACTAAAGACAGGGCTGGTTGCCAGTGGACCTCGGAGGAGAGGAGAGGGGTTGGAAATTAAGTTCAGTCACCAGTGGGCCATCATTTAATCGATCATGACTGTCGAATGAAGCCTCCACAAAACCCAGGAGGACTGTGTTCAGAGATCTTCTGGGTTGGTGAACACATGGAGATTGAGGGAGGGTGGCACACTTAGGGCATGGAAGCTCTGCATCCTTTCCTCGTGCCTTGCCCTATGCGTCTCTTCCATCTGGCTGTTCTACCCTTTCTTAATAAACTGGTCATCTAGTAAGCAAAATGTTTCTTTCATTTCTGGGAACCTCTCTAGTGAATTAAGCAAACCCAAGGAGGAGATAGGTGTTCATGGGAACCTCCCATCTATAGCCTGTTGGTCAGAAGCACAGGTGACAGCCTGGACTTGTGGTGGGCAGCTGAAGTGGGGGTTGGGGGGGAAGTTTTGTGGGACTGAGCCCTTAACCTGTGGGATCTGATGCTGTGTCCAGCAGATAGTGTCAGAATTGAGTTGAATTCTAGGATACCCAGCTGGTGTCAGAGAATCGCTTGTTGGTGTGGGGAAGAAACACACACATCAGAACTGGGTACCGAACTGGAACATGACTGATGTTTTGGAGAATAGCAGGGAAGCTAGTATGGCTAGAGCAGGGTGTGAGGAGTCCTAGAAAAGTAACAGGAAATCGGAGATGCTGGGGGACAAAATCATGAAAAGCCTTATAGGTCATCAGAATGACTGTCCTTGTGGGGCGCCTGGGTGGCTCAGTCGGTTGAGCGGCCGACTTCGGCTCAGGTCATGATATCGTGGTCCGTGAGTTCGAGCCCCGCGTCGGGCTCTGTGCTGACAGCTCAGAGCCTGGAGCCCGTTTCAGATTCTGTGTCTCCCTCTCTCTCTGACCCTCCCCTGTTCATGCTCTGTCTCTCTCTGTCTCAAAAATAAATAAACGTTAAAAAAAATTTTTTTTTTTAAATAAAAAAAGAATGACTGTCCTTGTACTCTGAGGGACATGACGAGCCAGTGGAGCAGGGGAGTGACTTAACATGACTTACGTGTTGATAACAAAGTGAACGAGACAAGTGCAGCGTCAGGAGGCCAGCTGGGGGGACGGACGATCGCAGATGTCCAGGTGGCAGATGATGGTGGCTTGTACCTGGCTGAGCAGGAGAGGCGGTGAGAACTAATCATATTCTGGATATATTTTGAAGATAGAACCAACAGGATAAGATTTCTTGAAGGAATGAAAGCAAAAAACTATGAAATTCTTTTTTTTTTTAATTTCTTTTTATTTTTAAGAAATCTGTGTACCCAGCATGGGGCTCAAACTCACAAACCTGAGATCAAGAGTCGTGTGCTCTACCAAGTCAGCCAGCCAGGTGTCCCAAGACTATGAAATTCTTGGCCTAAGTAACAAAAGGAGGAAAAGATCAGGAGTTGGGTTTTAGACCCATTGGGCTTGAGATGATCTATTAAGACCCTCTAGTCAAGACGTCAGATACACACGTAGCTATGTGTGCATGGGGTTTGGGAGAGCAGTCAGGGCTAGCTGGGTAATTTGGAAGAGGCACGTAGATGGGATTTAAAGCCATGAGGTTGGATGAGACCACCCAGAGATTTGAGTATAGACAGAGAAGTAACAACTACAAAAAAAGAGGAACCCGCAAACAAGACTGAGAAGGAATGCCCAGAGACAGAGGAGGCACTTGTACTGGTTAGACTTCTTAGGGAGTCTGTGCATCATTTAATCCCCCAAACAAGGAGACTTCCCGATATACAAGGATCTGTGTTTTTCGTCATCATCTTCATCGTTATCATTGTGGCTGCCATCATCATCAAAAAGCATCTGATATTTATCGGGTTCCCGCTGTGTGCCAGGCACTTGAGGACTGCACATAAATGCAGCCCCCCTGCCTTTAAGGACAACCCAGAATGACGGTGGTGCCTGTGCACTGGGGACCTGTGGAGGGAGAGAGTGTTCCCCTGGACAGGACATGGAAGAGCATGCCATCCCCCTGAGCCACTGCTGTCCTCTCCCCTTTACCACCCAACTTCTGTGACAAGTCTCCATTTCCTCATCTCCCACTCCAGTCTGACCTTCGCTCCTGTCACTCTCCCAAAAAAAAGCCTTGCTGAGGCCTCCTCCAGACTGTTCATCTGAAGGACGTTTGCCTCCACCTTCTCTCATCCTCAGCCGTTGTTGACCAGTACCTCCTGCTTCTGTGACTCCACACT